AGGACAAGCGGCCATCTGCTTTGACCGGCTGGTTTGAGAGGACAGGAAGGAGAGACAGACAAACACAGAATGGTAGGTCCAGATATAGCTCCAGGTCCAGGTATAGGTCCAGGTCCAGGTGTACCTGAAAGACAAAAACAACACATGTTAAGGATAGAAAAAATAATTACAAATGCAAAACAGTCCAAAAAAGTTCAATCTGGTCCTCTGGACATTCACTTCACCACTCGCTCCACACGAGATCGGATGCTTCTCTCCCTCCCTCTCTGCTTTGCTTTGCTGCTCTGTCTGTCAAATTGCTGTGAGACTCTCTTGCATTTCTTCCGAACCATAATTATGGACTTGTTTCAATCAGTTGGTCCCTCATCTCAATTTACAACATTTCTTCGAAGAGAAGACAGGCTTTGGGCGAGACGATTTACCCTGTTGGCATGTACGCAGCTGGATATCTCATCGACTGGAAGACTTGATGATGTGTCTATCTCTGCTGCCATCTGTGGATGTTAAGGACGCATATTTAATTGGATTTTCGATAACTGGTTCCTGCTTTTTTTGGATTCAGCTGGTGCTGGTTTTATCTACAATCAAGGAAGTCGTCAGAATCAAATTTGGACCCGATCACGCTGCTTGCCTTTATGATGGCTTGGTTCATGTTCTGGAGTACCCGGAATCAAATGCTTTGGGCTGAATAGATCAGATCTTGGAGATTTTTACTCAGACACGTTTCCATCGGTGTTGGCCATGTTAATTTGGACATTTCGGAACCGAGTAGACCGACACAGACTGAAGGTTGATGTCATTAAGTTCTGCCTGTCCCCAAAACAACTGTGTGTTTATCTAAATTTTGGTCACCTTGGTTGTCCTTGAAGGCCATCTTATCTAAAGTCACCTGGAGAAAATGTGATCTGACGCTCACCACCCCCTCCCTGAGGAATTTCCAACTGATAACCAGATGAAACCCCGCTGAATAAACTTTGTGTCATCATTTCAGGACTCTGGATTCATATTGAGATTATTCTTGGCCATTTCTCGACATACCTCGAGAATGTTTATGGATCTCACCGGAGGACATTGGCTGATTACAGTGACCTTGAGAGCATCTATAAGCGTTGTTGACCGCTCTCGTCTATTCCTTCTTCTGCTCTGCTCTGAAGAATGTCTACGTAAATATGTGCTTGTTTGTGCGAGGTGTTTTTTCAATATTAGGGGTTTTTCTCGGCCAAGAAAAAAGTCTGATAGGAATTTTTTTCGCCTCCAACTCCTCCATGTGTCCAGTTAACCACTGTTTTTGTCCGTCCAAACAGGTCTCACATGTAAATGAGTCTTCGAGGCTCAGTGTTATTTATCTGTTTAAATAAAGGTTGAATGAATTAAAAAAAAAAAAGAAACGTTTCGTCTCTTATCCGAGAGACTTCGTCAGTCTGAGGTGCTGTATTCAGCTCAGTCTCTTAAATAGCACCTTCTCAGAGTGGATCAACCAGTTTGCTGCTAACAACCAAAACCAGCTGCTCACATGTTCAAGAAGGACCATCAGCCTAACAATGGATCATTAGCACCTGGTTTTGGTTGTCAGCAGCAAACTGGTTGATCCACTCTGAGAAGGTGCTATTTAAGAGACTGAGCTGAATACAACACCTCAGACTGAGGAAGTCTCTTGGATGAGAGACGAAACGTTTCTATATTTTTTTGCTTTGTTTTGTTTTTTGTTTTTTGAATGTCCAGAGAACTAGATTGAACTTTTTTGGATTTTTCTACCTGGATTATTGAGCATGCCTCAGGAGAAAATACAAACAGGTTGAGCAGAGTAAGTAAAGACAGTAGTAGAGTGAAAATTGTGGTCAGTTTGTCCTCCAGCAGTCTAAGCCTATAGCAGCATAACTAAGGGACAGCTCAGGAAACCCAAGCTGACCATAACTATAGGATTTAGCAAAAAGGAAAGTCTTAAGCCTAGTTTTAAAACTGGATAATGTGTCAGCCTCACAGACAGAGATTGGAAGTTGGTTCCACAAGAGAGGAGCCTGAGAACTGAAAGATCTGCCTCCCATTCTGTTTTTGTAAATTCTAGGAACCACAAGTAAACCTGCAGCCTGAGAGCGAAGTGCTCTGTTAGGAAAATATGGAACAATAAGATCTGTAATATAAGATGGAGCTAGGTTGTTGAGAGCTTTGTAGGTTAGAAGTAAGATTTTGAATTCTGTTCTGGATTTGACAGGGAGCCACTGGAGAGAAGCTAAAACTGGAGAGATATGATCTCTCCCAGTAACTCCAGTTAAGACTCTGGCAGCAGCATTTTGGATCAACTGAAGACGTTTTAAAGAAGTATTTGGACACCCAGATAATAAACCATTGCAATAATCCAGTCTAGACGTGACAAATGCATGGACCAGTTTTTCTGCATCATCTTTAGATCAGATGTTTCTAATGTTAGTGATATTACGCAGGTGGAAGAAGGAGGTTCTAGTAACATTTTTAATGTGGGGGATAAAAGACATGTCCTGATCAAAAATAACACCAAGATTTTTAACATTAGAGCTGGAGGACAGATTAATGCATCTAAGGAGGGAGAAAGACTGAAACATTCATTCCTAAGGTGCTCAGGTCCAAAAACCAAAACCTCAGTCTTGTCTGTGTTCAACAGGAGAAAGTTAAGGGTCATCCAGGTTTTTATGTCTTTAAAACATGCTTGTAGTCTAAGTAGCTGATTGGATTCATTGGGTGTAATGGACAAATATAATTGTGTGTCATCAGCATAACAATGAAAATTTATCCCATGTTCTTTAATAATTTTACCTAATGGAAGCATATATAAAGTAAAGAGTATTGGCCCAAGCACTGAGCCCTGAGGAACGCCATGACTATTTTTGGTGTATGAAGAAGATTTATTATATACATTTACAAACTGGAATCTATCAGATAGATATGATTTAAACCATTTTAGAGCTGTTCCTGTAATCCCAATATCATATTCCAGCCTCTGTAGTAAAATATTGTGATCAACTGTATCAAATGCAGCACTGAGGTCTAACAGGACCAGTAGAGACACCAGTCCATTGTCTGAGGCCATGAGAATACCATTAGTTACTTTTACTAGTGCTGTTTCTGTGCTATGATGAGCTCTAAACTCTGACTGAAACTCTTCAAACAGATTATTTCTTTCTAGATGTTCACGCAACTGACCTGCAACTATTTTCTATAGAATTTTTGAGATGAAAGTTAGATTAGATATAGGTCTATAGTTGGCCAGAATTTCTGAATCAAGATCAGACTTCTTAAGTAAAGGTTTAATTACAGCAACCTTAAAGCTCTGTGGTACATAACCATTCATTAAAGACAAATTAAGTAGATCCAAAATGTGGACATTAATTAGGGGAAATACCTCTTTAAACAGTCTGGTTGGGATGGGATCTAGCAGGCATGTGGATGGTTTGGATGAGGTTCTTATTTTTGACAGTTCAGAGCTCAACAGGACAAAAACTGTCCAAACATAAATCAGGCTCTAGTGAAATTGTTAAAGTTGTCTCATTTGACAGGGGACTAGAGATAGTAGAAGGAAGGATGGTTTGAATTTTCTCTCTAAAGAAATAATTTTATTTATAAAGAATCTCATGAAGTCATCACTACTTATAGTTGTAGGGATACATGGTTCAACAGAAATGGGACTTTTAATTAGTCTAGCAATAGTACTAAACAGAAACCTAGGGTTATTTTTATTCTCCTCTATTAAAGATGAGTAATATAAAGTTCTAGTTTTACGGAGAGCTTTTTAATATGTTAGCAGACTATCTTTCCAAGTTAAATAAAATTCTTCAACATTAGTAGAGCGCCATTTTCTCTCCTGGTTTCTAGATGCTGCTTTAAAGTACGTAACTCAGAATTGAACCAAGGAGCCAGTTTCCTCTGATTGACTCAGATTGACTCAATAAGTTAATCAGTTGTGCATCAAATGATAACACTTGGAAAGGTTCATTAAAATCTGTCCAGTGGTTTATGAGATAATTTGCTAACTGTGTTGATTCCACAACAGATCGAGGTCAAATGACCTGGTGGATGTACAACAATCCAGGTAGGTTGAGTCAGGTCCTCTGGACTGATTCTTCTTGTTGAAACATTTCATCGTTCATCTAAAAGACTTCTTCAGTCTGAGGAGATGCAACAAACTCAGTCTTATAAACAAACCTTCTCATAGTGGATGAACCAGTCTGCTGGTGGCACCTAGTTTTGGGTGATTTTGGCCAGACTTGTGCTCATATGTAGTGAAGAGAAGTAACAATATGTTTGTTTCAGGTACAGGCCATAGAGAGCACATTACTCCAGTTTTGGCCTCCCTGCACTGGCTACCCATTCACCTTCAGATCCAGTTCAAAATCCTCATGTATGTTTTTAAATCACTGAACAGTTCCGCCCCATCCTATCTCACTGATTTTCTGCAGCCATATGTCCCACCGCGCTCTCTAAGGTCAGCAGACCAGATGCTTCTCTCAGTCCCAGAAACCCGTCGTAAGCTCAGAGGTGACAGGGCTTTCTCTGTTGCAGGTCCAAGACTGTGGAATGAGTTGCCACTGCGTATCAGGCAGGCTCCCACACTCACACTTTAAGTCTCGCCTGAAAACCCACTTTTATTCCTGTGCCTTTGACACGGTGTGATTTGTTTTGATCCTGTCTGTATTCTACAGTGTTGGCCATTTAGTTATTATCTGCTGCTATTTGTATCTGTATTTTTATTTTGTGTTTTCCTGTCCGCTGTGCTTGTTTCTATTGTACAGCACTTTAGTTGGCCTTGTTGCTGTTTTAAGTGTTCTATAAATAAATTTGTATGGTGTGGTTTCATGTCTGTGAAATGAAAGAATTAAGATTTGAAGTTAGACTTTAATGTTAATAAATCTGTATTTTATGAAGCAGAAACTGTTCTTTAAGTGAAGCTATCATCTCTTTGGAGGTAAAAAAAAAAAGGCTTATTTTTTCACTCAAAGTTAAATGAACTTTCATTTCATGTCTTTCAGGATGAGGAGAACCAACAGGAGGAAGAGGCAGAGGAAATTGCATCTGAGGAACAAGTTGACGGGGTTACAAGACCATCTTTAAGCCAGGAGGTGGGCATGGAGGAAGGGGTGGAGGAGGACAAAGAAGAGAGAGCAGTAGAGATGGAGGAGGAGATGTTGGAGACAAGTGAGGAAGAACCTGATAATGGAAAAGCAGACACAGGGATGAGTAAAGGGAGAGAGGAAGAGGTAGAGGATGAAGAAGAGACAATGGAGATAATTCCTGACCCCCAGGATGAGAAGATTCAGAGAGCCTCACCTGTTCAGGAGGAAAGTGAAGGGATGGGAGAAGATGAAGATGTTCCAAACACAAATCAGACAAATGGTGTTGTCACAGAAATACGAGATCAGGTACTGGAAGAAGTGCAGGAAGAGCAAGAAAACTCCAACCAGAACCTTGAAGATAAGAGGGAAGGTGACAAAGAGGAGAGTGGAGAGTTCATGGAACAGGAGGAGGAGGAGAAAGAAAAAGAAGAAGAAGAAAAAGAGCCAACCCAAGATGATCAAACAGGTGTGGAGCAGGAAAGTGATGAGACAATGTCTCAGCTGGAAATAAAACAGATGAAACATTATCCAGCTGCAGAATCCACACCACCTCCTCTGTCTCTTCCTGAGTCCCAGTCCAACACTGATTCAGATGAAGTTCTGCTCAGTCCTTCCTGCAAATCCACCAACCTACATATAAACCTGGTCTCTCCCAGTTTAGAGGACCTCCCATCTTTGTCTCATCTGCCTCCAGCTGTTGCAGATTATGGTCAAAATGTCCCAGAGCCACCTTCTCCTGGTGGAGAGTCGTCTGCAGAGGAAGAGCAGGCAGAGGCTGCAAAAGACGAAGAGCAAAATGAGTCCAAGCAGGAGCCCAACGATTCCTCTCCTGCCTCTGTGACACATCCAACAGAACTGGGTAAAGTCCACTTTACCATTGCGCCTGCACGGCAGAGACCAAAAAGTTCTACTGGACTCATCACACTGTCTTCTCCTGTCTCTGGACCCGGAGGGGTTGAGGCAGAACAAGAGACGAAGACAGAGCCTGCGAGTTTGGTTGAACGGGTCATAGAGCCAGGCAAAGGGAGGAATCCATTAAGCCCAATGGTGACCTCAGCTGCTGCAAGAAGAGCAGGTGAGGACACGAACATCTCCTGTCTGGTTAGAGGAGGCAAATCGAAATGGAAACAATTTTTGACTTGTTCCAACAACTTTGGAAGAATCTATACACAACATGCTGGAAAGCGTGCTCTGACTTGATAGCGTTCACAAAAAACTACTTTCCCCATAGACAACAACAGGATTTTGGCAAAACACATAAGAAAAACCATATTTTTTAAGCTCACTCATACACTTGACTGCAGAACTATAATTCTTAGTTTAAATAGATTAAAGAAAGTTGGACTTTACATGGTTGAACTCATATTTTGACATTTGAACTGACAGTGACGTCGCACTAACACTTCCAACTTTGTTTACTCCCTCAAACCTTAATGTTCTTGATGGCGAAGCCCCCTGTGGCGTATGATGCGCCTCAAAAATAACCCCTGTCCACACCGTTCTGTTTTTAAAGGCCGCGCATCCTGAAACTGGTTGTTTTTTTTTACTCGTTCCCTGCTTGGACATGGATTCCCATAGCAGCTCTTCTTTGATGTTTATTTATTTATTTGTTTATTTTTACTATTCGCTCTTTCAAATAAAAAGGACAAAATGGCCGATGAAAGATTTGAGGTGGATATATATCTGGAGATGCCTGACTCTCGTCATTATAAAGGAAATAGCAGAAAGTAGTAGATACTGTCTGGTGACCCGTTGTTTAAGAGACTGGCTATTCTGATGACAAACAGAATGTTAACGCTTTAAAGCTGATCTGTTATTACAGTGCACAAAAGATTTGCCATTGTCCCTGGTGAGTTTTTGGATTTATGCAATTTAGACATAAAAAAATCTATCTGCATTTTGTCATTTGTGTCTCACTGCTATAGGATCCCCAGAGTTGGCACATCCCAACTCTCATCAACTTCCATTGTATTGGAGTTCTGAATGTTCAAATGAACAGCATAAGTGCAATATATTTTGATCTTAGAGGAGATAAGCTGTAAAAGAATTGACTGACATTTCCCTTTAGAGCCTGCAGAGAGCTCTGTGGTGGCTGATGGAAACCCTGAGAATCCTTTTGGAGTTCGGTTGAGGAAAACCTCTGCTCTGATTCACTTCAACTCAGAGGAGGAGATGGCAGAGGTAAAAAAAAGAAGTTTTAAAAAGTGTAGAAACTGTTGACCTCTACTTCAGACATCTTTCTACTGACCCATTGGGGTATCGAGATAAAAAGGAAAGAAAATTCATTAAATCAGTAAAGGCAAATTGAAAGTGTTGGAAAAAGTTGTTTTGTTTTGTCACTCAGTCTGCAGTGGAGTCGCCAACCTTCTGTAAGGTGGACTCACCGCAGCCCGTCAGCAGTAAGCCCTCGGTGTGTCCGCCAAACATCAACAAGCCTGCTGTTCCTAAAAAGCCAGAGGTACACATAGACGCCGGAGGAAAACCGAGGCGGACCTCAGGTCTGTTTTCACATTTAGTCTCCATGTACTGTCTTCTGCTGCATGATGACCGATGTCTGACTCAGCGTTCCTGCTGCTCTGGACTCAGAACCAGCTGCGGGGAGAGGAGCCTCTGGTGGATCGGATCCTCCCAGCTGGATTTCTGTGGCCAGACAGAAACAGAGGATCTATAAAGGAAATTCTCTGGAGGAGATGACTGTCAAAAAGGTGGATTTAATACCCATTGTATTTTGCTGGTTTTTATTTATTTTATTCATTTATATCTTTCTTATTCTGTTTTACATTTTATTTTCACATTATGTTTTACTTTCTTGATATTTCTGTCTGAACTTTAAAACTCGTAATGTTTAGTTCAGTAGGTTTTGACCTTAAGCTTCTTTTTGCCATCAGGAGGAACAGGAGACAAAGTCCTCATTGCCCCACGCTGCAAGCAGGGAGCACCAGAACAAAACCGCAGAGAGCACCAACAAAGGTTTGTGCTTTTATTCTCTCTCACACACACACAGGTTTGTTTTGCTATCTTTATGGGGCCTTTGCATTGACTTCCATTCATTTTTCATTCATTTCTATAGCCTAACCATGACCTTTATCCATAACCTAACCATTACCAGTACATACCTAACCCTAAACCTAACACATCCTCAATTCCACCTTAGTCCTAAACCTAGCCCCTAACCCACCAAGGGGACTTCTTCTTATGGGGCCCGGGCTTTGGGCCCCATAAGGAGCAGTTGGTCCTCACAATGCAGTATAAGTTGGAAAAATGGGCCTCACAAAGTAGCATAAACAAGGACACACACACACACACACAGGGCTTCATTTCCTGAAGTAGGGAACTCGCTGGTTGATCCATGGCACACTCGTCCTAATCGGTTCAGTCGGTGCTGCATGACTTGAGGTTCTGCTTCAAGGAATTGTTGAAGTGTTTCTTTTGCCCTGTTCTTGTTTTTGTTTTTTTTGTTTTTTTTTCATTGCTGCAGTTGAGAATGTGACTGTTGGACATTTTGACAAGGCACTGAAGTTAGTTTTTATGACAGTAGATAAATTCTGGTCATTTTGGCTTTCCTGAGGACACTGATGATGGTCGGATAGTTCTCCCAGCTAATGTTGAGAATTCTTCAAAGGCAGCACTGATGGAAATGCTCAGTGCTGCAGTAGTTAGTCCACATTTCAGAACCATAGAAAAGAGTAGAAATCACAGCATCATTTTAGACCAGCATTTTTGCATTATTGCTGGGATCTCAGTTCTTGAAGACTGTTCTCAAGTGTCTGAAGGCTGCTCCAGTACAACTCCAGCTCTGTTTACATGCACAGAATTCTTTGACCGGATTGAAATGTTTTCAGATTAAATAATTTGAATGTATCTTTTACATGGGCACTGTAGGGGAACGCCTCACCTCAGAAAGAGTTCGCCTCACCTTGACAAACACCATTCCTTTTTTTGTGTTTGAAACTGTTAAAATAAGATTAATCTATTCCCTTGGGAAGGAACAGACATCATTTTACAAATATTGTTTCAGCTCACAAACTTTCTAAGTCGACACTAATGTAATAAAAAAAACAGTTGTGTTAATCTCACTAACCCAATATGAACTCATTTCCCATGAAACTGAGAGATCATTTTAAAGAGGCTTTGTTCAACTGACCTCGGAGTTTTTGAAACATCCAAAAAACTCACAATGTTGATATCTTGCCTTGTCGAAAAATAATACTCCCAGACTCTCGTTCTCTTGAAGATAACACCATAAGAACTCTTTTGTTTGTAAAGAAAGATATGGACAATGCGACAGAACCCTCTTTAACCTGCATGCTATTTGAATATTCAAAAGATGTTCTATTTCGAAGGTTTATTCTTGCAAAATGTGTGTTTTAAGTAATCTTCCTTAAGATAATAACTTGCCTTATTGTTTTGTTAGAAGGAAACTTTTGAGGCAGAAAAAGGACATTAGATTTATTTAATAAGGCCCTTATGAAAAACAAGGCCATGGTTTAGGACCACCTCTTCCTGGAGAGGTGGATCAATCCTATCTGTTTTAACACAAACAGTTAAGTTTCACTTTTAGAAAAACGTCCAAGTTTCACTTTACACTTGACATCAGATAATTGAGAGAGAAGCACCTTCTTGATTGTCAAGATTGATTCCAAGATGGCGCCCGAGCTGGTGGCTTGCCATTCACCTCTGTCCACTCTGTTTCTTTTTTTGCTATTTTTATCATTTTTCTTCAATAAGATCAGCTCACTACTGGTGTATGATCGCCAGCAACTGCTCAATCTACAATTTTCCACCACTTATCTCGCCTCCTATAAACATTTTGATCGGGGTTCTGGGCCCCCACCTCCGCTGCTTGGGAACGTACCTGGGTATCTCCAGCGCGCGGCATTCGTGCCTGCACGAAAACATCGCTCTCGTCGCCGTGGGAGACGTGCTGGCCGCCTCGTGAGGCTCAAAGCTAGCCTCGCTCGTTCCTCAGCTACAGCTGTCCACCGGAATGAGGTTTCTCCACCTGGATGCTTCGCGGAGTCCTGCCTGCTGCAGAACATCGGGTCGGAGGCGTGCAGCGAGCGCGCGCCCAGCTGCGGTGTTTCCAACCGTATCCAGCAAACCAAAACCAACCCGGGTCCAACAGCTGCACCATCTGCTGCCCCATCTGATCGTACCAACGACCCTGCTGTGTCCGGCGGCTCCTGGATTCCGGCTGTTCGTCCCGGCTGCACTTTCTCCGGCCGGAGGAGGCGAGGACCCGACGTAAACAAACCGAAACCGCTGATCTGCGCCCCCCCTCAACTTCTCCCTCAGCTGCTGACCCAACAAGGTTTGCTCTCCTCAATGTGAGGTCTTTAACAAACAAAACCTTCATCATGAACGACTTTTTCTGCACAAATAATCTGGACTTCATGTTTCTGACGGAGACTTGGCTTCCTCCGGGTGAGTCAAGTGTGTTTTCTGAACTGGTGCCTGCTGATTGTACTTTTCTTAATTGCCCGAGGTCATCTGGAAAAGGTGGAGGAGTGTTGGCTGTTTTTAAGAAAATCTGGAAATGCAGACTGTTACAGACACCATCTTTTCAGACCTTTGAACTGCTACATTTTGAACTGGGCCGCTCCAACCCCATGTTGATTGCGGTGCTTTATCGACCGCCCAAATCCTCCACAGGCTTCGTCAGTGAACTGTCTGTCTTTCTCACTGCAATACTGTTAAAATACGACCGTGTGCTGATTCTAGGGGACTTCAATGTGCACGTCTGTTGCCCTGAAAAGCCTTTGGTTCAGGACTTTTTTAGATCTGATCCACTCTTTAAACCTGGTGCAAAATGTTTTCGGCCCCACACACCATCAGGGTCACACTCTTGATATTGTTCTGTCTTGTGGTGTCTCTGTGTTAAATCTGGAAATTGGAGATGCTGTCATGTCTGATCACAAACCAATCTCATTTGTAATACCTCTTGCTCGTGTCTCTAAATCTCCCGCTCCACCCAGGACCTGTCGTATATTTAACCCTTCAACTGCTGCTCGTTTTTCCTCTGCCTTTATTACCACTGCTGCTAAACACCTGAAACCTCTGCCTGTGTCGGTGCTCAGGAGCTGCTTAGTAACCACAATGTGACCTGCACTAAGATCTTGGATCTGGTGGCCCCACTAAAAGTCAGGAAACCAAGGAGAGCCCAGTACCCATGGATGAATGAGACCACCAGGGCAGCGAGACGCCTGTGCAGGAGAGCTGAGCACAAGTGGAAAAAGGACCTTCTCCAGGTTTCCTTCATTTTGCTCAAAACCTGTTTAAAAAATTACCAGAACACTGTCAAATCTGAAAAAAAACAAATATTTCTCCCAACTCATCAACTCAAATAGACACAACCCCCGCGCCCTATTCACAGCAGTAAATTCCATTCTAAATGTCCCTTCGTATTCATGTATGGAGGCCTCTGTTGACACCTGCAATGACTTCACTAAATTCTTTGTTAACAAAGTGGAGTTGATCAGGGCCTCCATCCCCCGCTCCTTAGTCGACCCATCAGCTTTTGTTTCGTGTTCTGCTACTTTCAGGCAATTCAAACCAATCACACTCCCATTGTTAAACAAAGTTGCTGGTCACATGAAGCCATCAGGATCACCATTGGACCCCATCCCAGCAACATTGTTCAAACAGGTTCTACCAGCGATTGGGCCTGCTGTTCTAACAATACTAAACAGTAGTATTGCTACAAGCGTGGTCCCAGAGGCGTTCAAACATGCAGTAGTCACACCGTTAATTAAGAAACCTGGTCTTGACCCTTCAGCCTGCTCAAATTACAGGCCAATCTCAAAACTCCCCTTTCTGTCCAAAATCCTGGAAAAAGTAGTTTTTACTCAGTTAAATCAGTTTTTAACTGAGAACTAAATCTTTGAGGTCTTTCAGTCTGGTTTCAAGCAGCTCCACAGCACCGAAACAGCTTTGGTTAGGGTTTGTAATGACATTTTAACAGCAAATGATTCTGGCCATTTTGTGGCTCTTGTACTCCTCGATCTTACTGCCGCTTTCGATACTGTTGACCACAGTATCCTCATCTCTCGGCTTTAACACTGGGTTGGGATTACAGGTGCTACATTAGACTGGTTCCGCTCATACCTCTCTGACAGGAGTTTTTGTGTGAAGGTGGGTAAAAATCTATCCACTTCAATGCCTCTTTCCTGCGGTGTCCCGCAGGGCTCGATTCTCGGAGCCCTTCTTTTTTCACTCTATCTGCTTCCGCTGGGGTCGATCCTAAGAAAACATGGTATTCCATTCCATTGCTACGCCGATGACTGTCAGATCTACCTGCCACTGAAACCAGACAGTGCTTGTTCTGTCCACCCTCTCCTCAAATGTCTGGACGACATTAAGACATGGATGGCTTCAAATTTTCTAAGTTTTAACGACCAGAAAACTGAAGTCATTGTCTTTAGCCCTAGCTCAGCTGCCGCCTCTTATCCTGTGAACCTGGACTCCCTTCAGCCTTATCTGAAGCACTCTGTTAAAAACCTTGGAGTGGTTTTTGACTCGGATTTTAAGTTCGACAAACAGATCAGTTCAGTTACAAGAACCCAGGAACCCAGACCCAGACCAGTGGTCATTCCATATGTTGAGGGGGTATCAGAGAAACTGAGACGTTTATTTTCTAAACATAACGTCCCAGTGGCTTTTGAACCCCAAAATACATTACGGCAAAGACTGGTTCATCCCAAAGATCCAGTCCCCCGGCACAAACAGAGTAATGTTGTGTATGCTGTTCAGTGTCAGGAGGGCTGTGATCAGTCTTACATCTGGGAAACTAAACAGCCACTGGCCAAAAGGATGGCCCAGCACAGAAGATCAACATCATCAGGCCAGGATTCTGCGGTCTACACTCATCTCCAGGCCAGTGGTCACTCTTTCAAGGATGAAGATGTTCACATCCTGGACAGAGAGGAACGATGGTTTGAGAGAGGAGTAAAGGAGGCCATCTTTGTGAAAAG